CAACAGGCCCCCTCACCCTGGATAACAGACAGAAACTAAAAGCCACAGAAGATAAAAAGATAAATTAAGAAGCACAGATTGTGAATTATCAGGCAAATTACAACAACTGGTAGAGTTGTCACAAGCCCAGCACAAGAAACTACATGGAGCTCTGAAGTGGTAAGCTGGTGGAGGGGAGCTCCAAGGAGAGGCTGTCCTCCACCCCAGAGCTGTGCTCAAGGGGAAGACATCACTGCAAAGGAGGCTGCCAGCTCCCAAAAAGTCTCCTGCCTAAAAGGCTGCCTGCATCCTGCATCTCAGCTTCTGGTAAGTAAGAATAGACTGTGAAGTCAAAGTGGGGATGTTGCAGGAGCATATGAAGTGAGAGCACCTTCACCAGTCCCAGGTAAAGGTAAGCCGTAGTGGAAAGAAGCAGGCATGTAGACAGTTGTGGCGTTGATATTTGTTTTCCTTGAATGCATCAGCTAACAAACATTTTCCTGGAGTCTGGCTCTTACTCTTACAGTTTTGCTTGGGCACCTTCAGAGGACAAAAATGTAGGTGCTGAGTGTGACTCACACCTGCCGACGTGATCTCAGTCAGTATCAGGAAATTGCAGTGCAGGCCAAGAAAAGATCGCGTCACCTCATCCCATGGGAATGATGTCCCTGGGAATGTCATAAAGCCCAGGGAGCTCAGAGCATATCTGAGCTGTCATTAGCTAGGATAGCCTCTGTGTAATGCAATCTTGACTCTTTAATCTCAAGCTATTCACAGGACTATTTCACTAGTATTTTCTTCTTTTTTTTTTTTTTTTTTTTTTTTTTTTTTTTTTTTTTAATTTCATCTTTATTTTTTGGAGGGAAGAGAGCAGAGGTAATTGAATAACAAGACTGGCAGCAAAAACACAAAGTTCTTTAACTGTCTTTGCCAACCTCTTTTGTGACTGACAGCATGTCATGTCACTTTTTTGTCTCAGTTCTCTACTAGTATATGAGGATAACAATAGTCCAAGTGGTTTTGAGAGACTAAATTCAGTAATGTCCCAAGCCAAAGCCCATTGAAGTCAATGGAAAAGCTCTCAATTACCTAGAAGGGCTTCAGGTCAGATCTTGCTTATTCAGCATTATAAGAGGCATTTGAAAACCCTTTAAATAGTGCCATATGTGTGCAAAGGTATTGCTTATTACAGGACTGTAGAACACACTTTTCAGCTGCTACAAGCACACATGAATAATACCTTTTCTCAGCCTCATTTTTAACAATCTTTGCTCCTTCTGAAAAATCATTGCAAATTATGTCAATACTAACAATTGTCTTCAACACCCTATCAGACAAAGCATTTATTCTGTTGCCTACAGACTCCTTTGAATCTGCAAGAAATGCAGATCTAGATAGGTCTGAAGGCAATGAAGTAATGCACCATAGCTGTCATTCTTTAACAGTTTATGGTCAGTCTTTGTAAACTTTCATGACAAGTTTCAGTTGATTGACAGCTACTGGGCTGGAGCCCCACAAACAGGTTTTAAAGGTCCAAGACAGACCTAATTTTCTCTAATAAGATTAGATGCCACAGCTCAAGACTGCCCTATGAATAAAAAGCCATTACTTATAATGGTCTGTCTACTTGTTACTCTGCACAGAGACTGACAAAATTCACTGTAGCTCTTGAGTGAAGTCAGTAATCTCTTAGACCTGTTGAGAGCCTTTATGGTCACAAGGATCAATCTGATGTCAAGGTCAAGGTCTCTACTCCATACGGGTAATTTGGTACAGAAGCTCTGCAACAGATTCACATGCAAGGGACAGAAAGCACCAGTGCTGGCATTTAGTATTTTTCTGTTCAGGCAAGAGCAGGACAAAACACTGATGAGGCAGTTCATGTTGAATAAAACAAAGAGGAGAAGGGAGAAAGATGACATTTTGAAAGCACTCGGAGATGCCCAATGTTATAACTCTGGGCTATGTGAAACTTCTTACATGAAGTCATTTTTGGAGAGAAATAAATAAACAAATAAAAGTACATTTGACAATACTAAGCTCATTTAGATATAATCATGTAGTACATTTAGTTGTAGACCACAACAAATATATTAAGCTAAACATTTTAGTGTTTACTATAAAAACGTGTGCTGTTTCTTGAACACGCAACTTTGTAGAAAACTTTTGAAATTTTCCATTAAAAATTAAGTAATCTGCTTGAAAAGATTTTAAAACATCAAAAAAAAAAAATACTTCCTGTTGAAATGAAATGTATAATTCAGAAGAGTTTGCTTGTCCCTCTGAATTTTCAAAATGATAAACAAATTAGAAAACAAAACACAAAACACCTTCCACACAGTTCTAATAAAATAATTTCTTACCACAGTTGTGCCTGAGGGTTTGGACTCTCCAGCAGTTACAGAGTATAAAAAGAGAGAAAGTGGGAAAGATAAGGTTGAAGGGGAACTCTAACCCAATAGCACAGACATTTTGCAGGCAGTAAATGCTGAAGTATTATCATAGTAATTGACATCACAAATGCTCCAAGCTAAATATATTGATTGTCAAGGTCAGCATTTTAGGCAGCAACAGCAGACATCCTCATCCATTAGCCCTGAAATATTGATTTCAGTCAGGAAAATAAAAGCCAGGAAAAGGAAAATACTTGAGCAATAAAATGATCTTTCTCTATCTTTGTTTTCCAGACATGGGAACAGACACCCTGTTCAGAGCATGTCAGCATTTATAGAATTGCTGAAGACTCGCATGAATTTCCCATTCCTCAGCCTATTCAACATGCACTTGTATTTGAAATGGCTAAAAAATAAAATAAAATAAAATAAAATAAAATAAAATAAAATAAAATAAAATAAAATAAAATAAAATAAAATAAAATAAAATAAATAATAAAATACCACTCAAAATGCAGAATTCAGAAAATAGACAAGGGCATAGCTTTGGCTTTATCTTGCTTGACAGAGGAGGGTGTATCTCAAAGCCACAAGTTCTTTTGCTAATATTATCATAGAAGTTACAAAGAAAATGCTTTATAAATGAAACCTGGTAAGTGCCAAATGCTTAATTATATAGCAAATACCAACCATTAAGAAAGTGTCCCAAGGCTAGAAACATTCTTTAAAACTGCTTTCTCAGCAATTGTTGCCTCAGCTGTTTAAACTGTATTACTTAAAATGAAAAACAGCGTGATTAAACACAATGAACTAGTTTTAGAAATCTGGACAGAAGTGGAAAAAAAAAAATCCCAAACACTTAAACAACTCATAGCGTGCACTTTTTAAAGGCAAATAATTGTCCATGTGTTCTTTGGCTATGTGTGTGACTAAATGTTGTTCAACACTACCTCATATCATTTGGTGAAACCCTGTTGTAAAAAGGTACCTTATGAAGCTGACTATTGTTATTTTCTAAATTTGTATCTGTAAGGCAAAGGTAAACACAATTCTCAGAACAGCAGACACTCCAGGGCTATGATCATTTTTTTCTTTGATAAACATTCTTGTTCCTTGCTATAAATAATTGTCTTTGTGCTTTTTTTCTGTCACACAGCAAATTTTCATGAGGAATGTAGCAAAGCAATCAGTGTATGCATATGGATGTAGTGGCCAAAGGCAGGCAGACAAATTACACTAAGTGCATCTGAAGAAGCAGCTGCCATCTATAAGAATGAAACCATGCAGCAAGAGCTGCAGTGGCCACAATTACAGTAAGAAGTGCACAAATGGAAAGTGATTGGAGCACATAACATGGAGCACATAACAAAAGAAAACATAGCAGGAAACAAAAATATTGCTCTCAACTTTGAGGGTATGGTTAGAAAAGATAGCACCTTAAGTGTTTATACAAAATAACAGTGAGATGGACTTTTTGGTTAGGGCATTTATGTCTGGACTCTTGATGGGACCAAAACAATATACACATGACTTGTCTTCTTTTTACTCTAACTAAATCAAAAAAACTAGTCCTGCTTCCACATATTTATGTACCATTGCATTACAGCTTGGAAACTTTAATTATAAAGGGAAGTAATGAATCTTACATTTATGTTGTCTTCTTCTTCCTGTAAATTTGCATTATATATCAGCAGATTGCTATGCAGATATAGCTATTTCCTAAAGAAGAATGTGACAGCTCAGTATAACCACAACCTGGGCAGCATCAGAGGGAGGAAATTTTGGCCAACACCAGGGAAAAGTGCCATGGGAACCATTAGATTTACACAGAGGAAACACATTGTTAATATGAATGACCAATGCAATAAAAATCTGAAATATATTCCTTTATCTGTTTATTGCCTTGGGAAAATGGAGGAGTGAAGCCACTTACTTAGACATGCATAAGCAGCTCTAGGGCTCCCAGTCTATCCTAAGCACTTTATTTAGAGAGCAGGTAGGAAGGCAGGAGGGAAGGAAGGGAGAAGTACAGGAGAAATTACTAAATTCTCTTTTTACAGAAGAATTAGAGCTTCAACACAATGGTGGAAACAGCATAAACTGAAGATGATATCTACATGGACGGGCACAAGCAGTACAACACCTGCTCCACCTGTGCTCCAAGGCAGACAGGTAGAAGGCAGGAATGGTCTGTGCAATCCTAATGCCTACACATGTAGCTAGCTGGCTTCTGAAGAAAGAGAAGCTCCTACGCGCTACAGTGATTATGTAATCTCTATTATGTACTGATTTTCAGTGCAACTCACAATACTCAGTAAGAAGTCAGGACTGCTGCTTGTACATCGGGTCAGTGGTTCCTATCTTCCCTTTTCTCAAATGCTCTTAAATGAGATGAAGCTATCTACAGTTGTTGTTATGTTTCCAATTTTGTACTGCCTACCATGGGCCAAATAGCCCTGTGAAAATCATCCAGTCTGCTCTCACACCAGTTTTACAGCAAAGACATGAGCCAATTTCATTTATAGTTTCCAGACATATGTATTCATAAAAGAAAGAAAAATTTTATTCACTGTATAGAAATAGAATTACTAACAGACAGAACCTAGCCACCCTCTTTTATTAATTTACCTGTCAGACATCAGGTTTAACAGTTCAGCTCAGGTGGAAAAAATCTTCCGAGACAATTCTCAAGTTTTTCTTTGTCTTCAGAAATACTTTAGGAGAATTTTCTACCACTTCTCATTTCTCAGAGAGTCAGCCTAGATAAACAACAAAACCATCTGCAGTATTCGCAAGTGAGACAAGTGACAAATGATTAAACATTTAATGCCTTTAAATTGGAGCAATTTCTTTCAATAGGAGAGAACATTCATTTCCCTGCAGCAATCAGCTTAAAAAGGAGAAAAAAAAAAAAAAAAAAAAAAAAAAAAAGCTCATCTTTATCAATATTATAAATGTATTCTACCTCTAACTGACTGCAAGGTAACTAGAATTAGTGGAGCCCATAGCCTGATTTCATCAGGTACACATTAAACTAACATTGCAAGGATGGAAGCAGGAAAATCGATTAATTTTGTGCTGTTTCCTAAGCAAGTGCATGAGAAACACGTCACAGTAGGCTGAAAATCCCAGAAATTTTCACTAATATCCAGAAAAATGTGAGTCCTTGTTGGCTCAAGCTTCACAGGGGCTTACAGTTGTTTTGCCCTTTTGGTCTCATGTTTTGCTCTAAACCAAATGTTATGCAACAGTCTGAACCTCTTTTGTGTATGAATACAAATGAGAAAAAATGACTTGAAGCAGAGTGACTGACAAGAACTGGGAATGAGCTAATGAAAAGCTAATATGCAGTCTACATAGCTGCAGGTTGTTCTGCTCACTGGGTGTACTGGGAAAAACTAACATCCTTGGAGAAAGACTCCTGGGGAACTGGAGAACATCCTGGGAAAGACTCAAGGACACATAAGGAATACGCAAGTATTGGGGGAAAGAGTTGCGCAGGAGGCACTCCTGGTAACCACAGATCTCTTTAGAGATGTGAGTACAAGAACAAAATATTCTAGGCTGGTGGCAGGTCTCCTGTCTACTGAAAGAGAAGTATTTTTCAGTCAGTTCTTGCCAAGACCTAGATTTTTGATGTTAGCACTCAGGTATAATATATGTCCTCTATAAATATGAGGAAATGTCTGGGTCTTTTTGGCAGTTACAGTGGACACTGAGCTCTCTCTTCTGGTTTAGAAAACTGCTAAGCACAGATTTAAAAAAACAACACACATAAATAGGAAAAGAAAACAACATTTTCAGATATACATACCACTTATATACAATGACAGCAATTCAGACACATTTATAGCACTTTGTATATGGATAGATATTGATTCCTAAGCTTTCATTACCTAGATCAGACACTGTTGAGGTTAATAGTCTACATGAGTAAAGTTTAACCCAATTCTTTTAAGGGACCAGCTCATGCTATGACAGCACCTAAGGAGCAATTTAATCATAACCATTCTGTTATTCACAGAAAACAGCCCTTTCCTGCCAGCAAACAAAAACAAACATTGTAGATGCTTCATGAGCAGTTCTCTCTCCTTTTCAAAAGTGTCATCTATCAGCCAGATCCAGGAACAACTCAACACTCTGAATACTCTCATCCACTACCTCTTTCACAGGTAAAACATAAAATGTAAAACAGAAAGAAGCAAACAGCCAAAAACATAATTGAAGTATTGGAAGACAATTTATGTCTAGTCATAGGAATTTCTCTGATGACCAACTCAGACTGACCTAAACAATTTATTTCCACAAATATAATGTCACTGCACATCAAACACATAATACAGTTGCAGGAGCTAGGCCAATTCTTTCTACATTGGCCTTTTGCATCAATTCCATTACCTTTCCAGCAGATCAGCTCTGCATGAGATGAGTACTTGTGCATTACCTTGTGTCCTTGTCCACCCTCTCTGACAAACTAGAATCTCACAGTCTCTCAGAGTATTTATGATTATTAATACATCCTAGATTGCCTCTCTTTTGCTTTGCTTCTATGATACTCCCATAGAAAATGGATTAGTAGGAAAACCCCTTTTGTGAATTCACTAATTCCAATCTTTATTCCTTAGAATAAAGAGAAAGCCACAGAAACAAAGGTATAAATTATACTATATTAGGGGTTTTATGGTGCAATACTGATTTATAAATTCACGTTTCTCCATGTTAGATTTATTTTTAAAATAACATTGACTATTTTGTTATGTACTGCACTATAGATATTTGCATAGAAATGTTGAAAAATTGTGATCTGTCCCTACATAAAAATTGTGACATCTTGTGTGACAAATTAGGAAGATAGTTTAATATCAACAGCATAAGCTATAACACTTGACCTAGAATCCATCTAAGTAAATAGAATGACAGTAGGATTTATCTGGCCCTTGGTTTGGACTTCAACCCAGCTGACTAGCAGTCAAATCATTACACTGTTATTTATGGTGACAGTACTATGTTATCAGTTTAAACCAACTTCATATAAGATGATGGTAACTTTTTTTTATCTATTCTAATATAAATAAAGGTACATATCTCATCACAGTGCTTCATGTAGCTTTTAGAGTAGCACTGATATTGAGTTCTGCTCATTCTGCTATTCTAAATAAAATCTTTTTTAGTTGTTTTTATGTCCATTTTCAATCTGCAGACAAGATTCTGGAACATGGTCTTCTTCTACTCTCAGCACAGCACTATTGACAAAATCTGCCCACTCACCAGTTTTGCTTCAAAACACTCACACTTCATGGCATAACAAATCTCATCTACGAATTCACAGGGATCCCTGCAGTTCCTGGAATCTCATGAGCAAGAAGACAGGTGAAACATTTTTTGAAACTGGAGAAGAAAACCAATATGTTCTGCAAAGGATGGCTCGGGGCCAGATTTTAAAAGTGTCTCAAGCACTGCGATAATGAATGGCATATCTAGCACAAGGGTGCCTGGCCCCAGGAGCAGAAGACTCAGTCTTGAGTCAGATGTTTATTGTTTTACACAACATGAGGAACATGCGGTGTCTAGGAACGTGACTCAACTGTAAAGATTGTGTTAACTGTTTTTAATTAGATTTCCTTTTTCAAAACAACTTCTTTGCATGTAGGTGCAAAGGTTGTCTTCTTTCTAACAGAGCAGAAGCATATCTCACTTGGAACTGCACGAAACTTAGTATTTCTGAACATCACAACTGAGCTAGGTTTCAATACTAATTAAGTGGGAAGACCTCAGCACAAGCTTGTTCTTGTTACGTAATATGGCCCACTCCATTTTAAAGTACGTCTCCAGGGTTAGAGAAGCAGTCCTCAAAACCAAGCCATTCATAACGTGCCTGCTACCACCTTAAACATCTCTGTACTTGAAGATGTTGGTTATTGATAGGGTTAAAGCAACTTACCAACTGTCAGAGCAAGAAGCCAGGGAATAAAGCCTTTCGGGGCTCTTTGACGCTGTTCTGAGTGAGATGTCTGTCACAGCCTCTCTATTGCAGGGCAAAATGAGACAGAGCATATCGGTAAAGGTAGGAGATCACTGGAGAAGTTTGATGATCATACAGTTCATGAATCTATTAAAGACAAGTAAATCATCTGTAAGTCTGAAGCACACTGAAATGCTTTGAATTAAGGACATCTTAAATAGATTTGATTATCAGGAATATTTTTGACATTATTTTTTTTTCTTTAAAACAAGCAAACAAACAAAACAGCAATGTATTTATGTATTTGCAAATGGATGATAATTAACTTTATTTTAAGCAACATCTTAGTCCACTGCTTCAGGATCTGAACTCCTAAAGCACGTGGACTAGCAACTCCATAGCAGAAGTGTTTCTCAGCTGTGCCTGGAGGTTGCTGTGGTCCAGAGCAGGAAAGCAACTACCTACCCAAACTACCATGCACTGGTCCAGTCTATAGAATGTCCCTGGTACATACAAACCAGATTCTCTTCAGAGGAAACTGAACCAGAACCTCCTCTCCAGACATGTATTAATGTAGACTACTGCAACCCCTGGTGGGGATACTGAGGTCTGAACCAAGAAGTAAGCCACATCACCACAAGAGCTTGTTGCATTTACTAAACATTAATGTGCCTAAAAAAGGTCTCAAACAATTAGGAACTTCTATGACCCTCCTGCAGTGGCTGCCACACCTTCTAAAGGACCAAGTGCTGCATGTGTTTCCCATTTGCTTTTGATTGGCAGTCATCTCTGCTGCTCCTTCTCTCCCCAAGGACTAATGTGGCTATATATCCTCTCCTATCTTTATCTATGCTGCCTTCTGTTGTTCTCCCCTGTGATGAACCTTCCAGTCCCAGCAGGCTGTTAACCTCCCTTCAGGCAGCAAGAGGATTGGCAATCAATGCCAATGTAAATAAACAATAAATTCAGTGATAAAGCAATGCTCCCAAACCACCATACAGAGGTGGTGGAGGTGTTGTTATGCTAGCCCTCTCTGTACACACCATAGCAGGCAGTGCAGAAGACCAATTTTAATCCTAGTTTTGGCATAGAGACACATTCATCCCATACCCCAACTCACTTTTACAGTGTTGCATCCCTTGTTAGTGCAAACATCAATGTTCCTTGCCAGCAGTCTGCTTTTAAGTTTGAAGACAGCCCATAAAGGTAGAAATAAGGGTTTCTGAGCCATTGCTTCTTGCAAATCTCTCTGGAAAAGCAGCAGGATTTTGAGGAAGAAAGAAGTAAAGATTCTAAAATCATTTGTCTCAACAACAGATTAGAAATATGTCAGCAGCTCATAATAAAAGAGAATTAGGTCTCCCAGAGAGCATTTTTTAAAAGTAATTAATTTTATTCAGGAGAGTCAGTTCAGGAGAGTTACAGAAAATTCATGAGATTTTCTCCTCATGGCACAGGAGGTTAGAAGAGAAAAGACACCTACCTTATTACATTTTAGTCCCCAGAGGCAGTCCACAAAATTATTAATTATACAAATACATTAATCAGGAGAGTTACATGTCTTCTCTGACTTCACATGACCATTCTCATGCGCCAAAAATGTCATTTTTTTTTCACAAACAGAACCACCAGCAGTAGGTGTAAGTGCTTTTATTAGAGATAACAATACCTCAGAAGTGAGGAAAAGATGGACAAGTGAAATGAAACAGCCAGGAGTGCTCACGTCAGTCGTGCTCATTCTGATACATGCCTTCCCACGCTTTTGGCAACATGTTTGAAAACTGAAACTTGAAGGCATCTAGCGATATCTAGTATTCATCTAAGCTAAACAAACAACAGCAGAGAGCACAGCCTCTCCTCCTCTTCCTTCAGATTAATTTAATTTACTGCATCCTTTCACAGATAAGCAACAGCTAAGGTGCAGCCAGCCGTCATTATCAAGGCTTGTTTTGTTTTCTTATGGTTTGGACTAAGAAAAGTGTTTAGGCCTGAAACGAAGCTTCCTTTATTTTCCATAAGAGTGAGTGAGAATGAGGCACATTCCTCATATCTTGCAAGAATGGCTGAGTTGGAGACCACCGGCCCTAGATGCAGAGAGTCCAGCGCTGCCCCTCTTCTGCCAGCTGGCTGGGCAGCCCAGAGCTGCTGCCCTCATGTCCCCTCCTGTCCTGGGGCAGAGGCAAATTGGATCCTGGGCTGCATTTGCAGGGGAATTACCAGTGGAGACAGAAGTGATCATCCCACTCTACTCAACACTTGTCAGGAGGGCCACGAGGATGATCAAAGGGCTGCAGAACCTGCCCTATGAGGAGACACTGAAGGAGACAGGTCTTTTCACTCTGTAGAAAATAAGGCTCTAGGGGTACCTCATCACAATATTCAGTACTTAAAGGGTGGCTACAAAGAGACAAAGGGTCTGTTCACAAGGAGCATGGAATAAGAATAATAAACCTGCATCACAAGCTAATGTGAAGAACAGTTCTTAAAAACACTGTTGCTTTATTATCGATACCCACAACTGCCTTCTTCCACTTTAGGTTTGTCCCCCTGAGTGCCCTACCTTGCTCTGTGGTCTCATTTCACGGGGCTGCACTCTCCTTGCACCTTGCCACTCGCCTCAGCACACCTGCAGCCTCACTGGGTGATGTTCCATTCTTTCCCAGTGGGCAATGCCAATGTCATCACTTCCACAAGAACGTTTTGCTTCATTTCCATGACTTCCTTGGTTTGATGGAAGACAAGGATGATGGCTGCTGATGTTAGTATCCTGCTGGGGCCTAATGTTACAAATCTTCCCTTACAAGTGAAGTTTTACTTCAGTCCTTAGATGAATAATGAAGATTTAACCAAGTAGAAGGATTACAAGATCAGGCCCATAGTGAGTTTTATAAACACAATAAATGTCTTAAATTTTCTATGTAGAGTTGACTGAGACTCCTGTTATTCTTTACCATGGAAATATTGAGATCACATGATCCAGGGCAAACGCAGGTCATGAAGATTAATATAGAGATTTATCATGTCTATGGTATACAAATGTACATTCTGGGTGACCCAAAAAATAATGAAACCCAAGACTAAAGTATTCATAATAAGGGAATTTTGATACTTTAAACAGTTCTGGTTTGTTTTATAATGTTCCATTACCTCACAAATAATGTAGCTGTCATAACAAACAGTAACAGTGACAGATACTAAGAAAAGCTGGATGGTGTGCAAGACTCTAGACACAGCTCAAGTGCTCAGATCTGAATCAACTTTAAAATTAATATTTCTTGGATTGCTCAGCCCTGGAAAAGGACGCTACAGTACTTCTCAATTTACAAATCTAATATGTATCAGATAGCATACAGTAAAATGTAATACTGCTTTGACCTGAGCACAGTTGTTGAAGTTGATGGTTTTTAAACAGATCAATCTGTGTGGTAAGGTTTCTACTCAGATCAGTCTGTGTGGTAAGGTTTCTACTTGGAAGACTCATGCAGACCTCACAAGCTTGTCAAATACCTATAAAAAGCAACAAAGGAAGAATAAGGTACCCCTCCATGTGCCAGTTCAATGCTGTCCATCATTTCTGCTGTTCTGGTCTTGGGGGCAGCACAGCAGTTTCAGTCGTTTTTCAGCACAGCAGTAAAAGCAGTTTGTTAATTGTGCTTAGAGCACAAGCCCATTTCCAGTTGATAAGATCATAAGACTATGAGCACCACGGGCTCATGTCCAGACCACCAGCACCCCAGGGCCTTGCCTGCAGAGCTGCTCCCCAGCCCCTGGTGCCAGGCAGGTATCTGCTTCAAAGAAAACTGCTTCAGAACATTTCAGATAAATCACCTGCATCTTTTTTTTTTGTGATGTCTTTGTCCAAGATGAAAAAAAATCACAGCAACATTTTCTTCAAGCACCAGCCATTCCACTGTTCTCGGGATTCAGAGTATGCATTTTGCCATCTGGAAACAAGCTCTAATAGATAGTGGCCAAGCTGTCTGTGAAGATTTGCATGTTGCAGAAGGTTGAAGGGTAGCATGATCAAAACACCAGAATGCTTTTGGCAGAACAAGCTGTATCAGGAAACCAAAATGTTTCATAGAGAGTTGGGTTCCCTCAGAGCTTCACCAAAACACCTCACCAGTCTGCTAGTGCTGCACTCCAGCTAGGCAAGCCCTACTCCAACCATCCACTGTATAGTACTGTAATCTGGGCAAAACCTAGTACAAGCTGTCTTTTTTTTTAGGGTTATGGAGTTGACTCTCAGGTTTAAAGGGTTATACTTAGAGTTTCCTCATTTCCAAGGAAATTGGATTTGTGTAGAGTAAAAATTCTCCATTCCTCCTGCTTCCCACACAACTGAAGATTTCTATTCCCTGCAACACCTGCTTCGATGGTAGTTCAGCTGTAAATTCATCTGTAATACCCTACATTTTGTTTGGGCTGGAGAAGTGCTGTTCTTAAATGTAATCAGGGATCACTTGCAGAGACTAGTTTCATTGGAGAGAGGAAACCATCACTCCAAAATCTGAGAGGAGATTGGCAGGGCATTAGTAGATGTTGTGCCAACCAGATGAAACTGAGAGTCATCAGCCCAGTATCACTAGAAATAGACAGTGCAGATCATAGAAGTTAGGCCTTTGGCATCAGGAGCTCACAAGTTCTTCAGGGACCACAGTGAATGGTTTTTACCTCACATGGGAGAGACGCAGCTGGCTGAGGATGTTGGCTTTGCGTAAGAAACATTGGGCTGTGTGTTCAGGCCCTGCAAACATTTACTTGTGATGCTGGGAAACATTCATAACTTATCCTAGGGGTCTTCTTATGGCATTACTTTGTGACATCAGCTGTGCATATCCATACTTACACTGAAATGTCAGGGTAGCAAATTCAAGCTCTCAAAAGTGAGGAAATGCCAAAACTCATGAAATTCTCCCTCACCTCCTCATGCTTGGGGTCATGTTGTCTTTTACTGCCTACACATCAACCAAAGCATTAATTAGTTCAAGCTATGCAAATTGTTTTAAAAAGCCTAAAAGCCTAGTTTGCAATTTAAAATGGGATCCAGATGCCCTCATCATTTTAGGAGAGAAAAAAAAAAAAAAAGGCATTAAGTGGTAACTTTTTTTGTGTTACATGGCATGTGTCCAAGTTGAACTTGCATATAAAAATAAACCTCATGAGTTCATTGTTCTGAACTTACAGCCAAATGTCCTGCTTGTCTTCTGTTGAGTTTAAATGTTTTGTGACTAAGTTGTATAAAACATACTTTAAAAAAAACAGTAACAGTAACTAACAAAATATAAATAATATAATGATTTATTTCTTCTGATACTTCCAGCCATTGCACAACATTTGGATCTTCTGATAGAATTAATTTGAAAATAGCCTAATTATTCATTTATTTCTCTGTTCCCATAGAAACTGTGACAGCAATGATTCATTTCTAAGATTTATTAAGTCCCTGACCATGCAATTCATACAATTTTTCTCCACAAGGCTCAAATATCTAGCACATTGTATTGCAAGGAAGGATAGATTACTCATTTTTGTTTATCAGCTTCACTTTCTTGGAAACAGACAGTCTTGCTTTCTCACCATGGGTGAATTACAAAAATTCTAAGCACCACAAGTGGTGCGTTCTACCTTGGTGAAGAGAGGACAGGTTCGGATCTGCTCTGCCAACCTAGAAGTACATGAGGCAAATGCAACCCTGCTGCAAATGAG